GCTAGCACTGTCTTCTCTGCGAGGACGGACGCGTCCTGCTGGAACTGCCTTGGAGGCTACAGGTGTGCCAGCGGTCTTTTAAGATCATCTTGGCCTTGACTCTTAGAAGGGCCCTAAGCTCTTCTAGCTTCTCCCTGCCACTCAGTTCCCAAACCAGCAGCTTCTAACTATTAACCCAATCTCACCACCTCTTCTGCACCTTAGGGTTCCAGGACAGCGGCACCAAACACTGCCCATCCTGCCGACCCCACACTCCAGACTCACCACTGCCGAGCTGGTTCCGGCCCATGGCCACCCAGCTTAGCCAGTGCTGCTCTCATAGCAAGATCGCAGGTGGTGGCTTTACCAAACGAATTGATTTCCACCAGATATAGGCAGCTCAAAATGTGAATTCAGGCTCTCGGGGAAGGCTTTCTCTGCTGGCTTTGAAGGAAGGACTTGTCGCTTCAGGTTATGCTTAAGGAGCACCTCCCGTGTGCTGGAGATTGTCATGATGCCCCGGGCCTGGCTGCTTTTCACACAAGTTCTGGTTTATTTGTTAGGGACAGGGCGAAGAAGAAGAAGCGGAGCCGGAGCCGAGACAGAGACAGAGACCGGGACAAAGATCGGGACCGAGAGCGAGACCGTAAGCGGAGACACCGGTCCCGTTCTCGATCACGCTCCAGGACTCGCGAGAGGAACAAAGGCAAATCTAGATATCGGTCCAGGAGCAGAAGTCAGAGCCCCCCCAAAGACCGCAAGGACCGGGACAAATATGGGGAGAGGACTCTGGACAGATGGCGGGATAAGCATGTGGACCGCCCTCCCCCCGAGGAGCCCGCCATCGGGGACATCTACAATGGCAAGGTCACCAGCATCATGCAGTTCGGCTGCTTTGTGCAGCTGGAGGGACTGAGGTAATGGCTGGCGCTCTTCATCCACGAACAGCGAGGAGGGGCTCTTATCACTGGGGACTTTCACATTCTGAACAGCTAACAATCAAATCTGCCACGCCAGCTTCTTTTGAATTTGCCTTTTACTTGGAATCTGGATACGTTCACATTTATTTTTCCCTCTGCCTTCAGGACATCTGTCCTATTGCCAGTTGCAGCATGATTGATGGGTTGGTAGAGAGAGAGTGTGTGTGTGTGTGTCCATGCATCCCCGTCCCCCGGTTTCTTCCCTTTGGAAGGGCGGTGGTCCTGTGTCCGTGTTGGGCCATCTGTTGGTGCTTCGCAGCTTGGCACATTGGCTGTGGCTCAGCCGCAGCGAGGGTGGGAGTCGGTTGGGAAAGGCATTGTGAGGCGTGCTCCAGACCTGCCGTCGACTCTCCCTCAGGAAGCGCTGGGAAGGGCTGGTGCACATATCCGAGCTCCGGCGGGAAGGCCGTGTGGCCAATGTGGCCGACGTGGTGAGCAAAGGCCAGAGGGTCAAGGTCAAAGTGCTGTCCTTCACCGGGACCAAGACCAGCCTGAGCATGAAGGTAGGCGAGGCGCCTGGTCCAGGTTTGCATTCGAAGGTCAGGGAAGCCCAAGAGGGCAGTGACCGAGCTCGCTCCTTGTCTCTCTGTCCTAGGACGTGGATCAAGAGACCGGAGAAGATCTGAACCCTAACCGCCGGCGAAATCTAGTTGGAGAGACCAACGAGGAGACCTCCATGCGGAACCCCGACAGGCCCACTCACCTCGCCCTCGTCAGTGCCCCCGAAGTTGAGGACGACTCGCTGGAGCGCAAGCGCCTCACCCGCATCTCTGACCCCGAGAAGTGGGAGATCAAACAGGTGGGGCCACAGCGCCTGTAGCCTCGCAGGCAATCAGCCTGGAGCACGGCAGCTGAGAGTCCGGGCCCTGCAGCTGAGGGTCTGCGGTGGCGAGTGACCACTCACTGGCGGTGTGATCTGGAGCCAGGTTACGCTGCCTGTGTGTGTAGTCCTCGCGTGTAAAGTGGGAGTGGCGGCGGCGG